GGGCTTTCCACCATCCTTTTCTTGGCTTGTAGGTAAAAGATGCAGTTTTCTTCAGGATAAGTGATTTTACTGAGGGGAATCTTGTAGATGCTGGGGTTTTTTTGTGTTTAGCAAGAGGAACAGCAGTGTGGCTAAGCAGAAGGGCCAGGTACAGCATGACACTCCGGTCACGGTCATCAGGTTTGACATGCTGCCTCTGAGGTAGGCAGTGAACAGGGCACAGGCAAGAGCCAGGAGGTAGGTTTGCCAGGTGAGTGGCATGAACATTCCTCCAATCACAATGCAGGCCGGAGAGCTGTTGTAACCTCAGAGTCCAAAGTAGAGGTCCTTAAATGGAGCCGAAAGACTGAGTGCTGTGGCTGTCCCCAGCAGTGACCCCACTGCAGCGTGCAGGCACATGACCGCGGAGGAAAGCAGGATGGCACCCAGGAAAGTGAGCCCGGTCCACAGACTGTGACAACCATATATCTGGCCAACACCCCCAGGCAGGGATTTCAATAGCTGCAGGGCATTGAGTTCAGACCAGGTGACACTGGAAACTGAGGTTTCAGATGTGATCAAGGTGGTTGGGAAGAACAGATGGTAAAGACCCGTGGCTGAAAGGTGCAGGGTTATCACCATGTGGAAGGGCAGAGTGAAGACAGGCAGTGCCCATTTGGTGAACATGGAGTGCAGCCCACTTGAGAAAAGTGGGTAAGTCATGGACAAAGCATATGCAGGGAATAACAGCCATCAGAAATAGTCTCCCTTGTCTGAAAAGACAGCCATGCATATTCCCCCAAGGGTGGCATTATAACCATGCATTCCTGCTGCAGTTGCTGACCTGTGATGGGAAAGGTTGTGTAGATGCCTGTCATGACATCCTCCGGCCCCTGTAGCTGCCTCTTGTGGTAGCAGCTGCTTCTCATGATTGCTCCTGGCTGGGCAGCTGTCCCTTGAGAGAGTGACTGCCTCTCGTGATAATGTCTTCTTCTTAGGATAGTGGCTGCCTCTGGCAATAGTGGCTGCCTGTTGCGATAATGTCTTGCTGTTGCGGTAGAAGCTAACTCTCACGATAGTAGGTGCCCCTGGTGACAGTCGAGGCCTGTCCTGGGGGTGCCCTCTCACAACTGTGGTTGCCTTTGGAAATCATGTCTGCCCCTGGCGGTTGTAGCTGCCCGTCACAATAGCGTCTTTGTCTCATGAGAGTGGCTGCGTGTTGTGATAGCATCTTCCTCTCGAGATAGGGGTTGCCTATCATAGTAATGAATGCCTCTTGTGGAAGTGACTGCCTTTCAGTATAGTAACTGACTGTTGTGATGGAGACTACTTCTCGTGACAGTAGCCACCTGTCGTGTTAGTGCCCTCCTGTCGTGATAGACACAACCTCTCGTGACAGTAGCTGCCTTTTGAGATAGCGGCTGCCTCTCATGATTCTGGCTGCCTGTTGCCATCCTGGCTGCCTCTCGCAATAGTGACCGCCTCTCATGATACTAACCACCTGTCATGATAGTGGCCGCCTGTCGAGATAGTGGCAACCTCTTTCAAAATTGACTGCCACTTGTGATCTTGGCTGCCTCTCACAGTAGTGGCCATCTCTCAAGACAGCATCTTGAGATACTACCTGCCTCTCATGGTAGTGGCTGCCTGTTGTGATATTGGCTGCCTCTTGCAATACTGGCTGCCTCTCCCGACAGGGTCTTCCTCTCGAGATACTGGCTGCCTATCAGGATGGTGGCTGTGTCTTGTGATAGTGGTTGCTTCTTGCAATAGTGGCCTCCTGTTTGGCCTCTATGCCATAGGGTCTGTCTGTTGCGACAGTGCCTGCCTCTTGTGATAGTGGTTGCCTTTTGTGATACTCACTGCTTGTTGTGGTAATGGCTGTCTCTCCTGGCAGTTGATGTTTCTCATGACGGTGCCTGGCGGGGTAGCCGCCTCTTGTGATAGCAGCTGCCTCTTGGGAGAGTACCCGGCAGGGAAGTTGCCTTCTGTGATAGTAGCTGCCTGTTGAGGTATTGCCCAGCTGGTAGCTGTTGCAGTATAGCTGCTGTTGCAATATAACTCAGCCAGGGAGCTGCCTGTCATGATATTGTTTGGCCCAGTAGTTGCCTGTTGTGTTATTGTCCTGTAGATGAAAAAGGGGCCACATGCTAAACCTGCCAAGCTCAGGGAGGCCTGTGTGGTGGCCTTATAAACACAGATACCTAAAGTAACCACATAGGATGGTCTGAAATTAAAACTTTTTAATTAAAAGTGAGTCATGTTGTGTAGTCATGTCTTAGGCTGGTATCACCCTGGACAAAGGCCAGGCTTTACCTTGTCTGAGCCTATTGTCTTTCTGCATCTAGGACAACACACCCTCAGAATGGCAGGATAATTTCCCGTCTCCCAACATTTGTTTTTAAATTGTACAGTATCACAGCATTTATACAATATTCTTATCTTCTTGGCACTATTGCACTGTGTCAAGTGCTAGAGGATATTCCGTCTCCAGAAGCATGGACTTTGGAGGGTTTTCATTTCTGCGAGGCTGCTCGGGTGTGCGGTGACACGTGAAGAAGCTAATCTGAGAACTGTACTCTGCAGCGTTGTCTGTGTCTGGTGTTTTTCTCTGTTATGGGTAGGACTGGTCAGTGTCTGAGACTGGATCCCTCCCAGCAAAAGGCAACAGCGACTGCTTACTTTTACTTCCTGGCTCTGAGCACTAGATGTCACACTCAGCAAAGTTTTAGAAGTTATTCCTCTGAGTAGGGTGTGGTGGATAGTGCGAACCCTACTATAAAAAAACTATCGCTTTAGGTTTCTAGTGGAATGCAGTGAAGGTGCACTTTTACTAACAAAAAAATTAGGGAAAAAGAACTACTTAGCAGAATATGTAATTGGAGAAACCTTATATACGTGCAATCTTGGTGTATAATTATACCTCAGTAGAGCTCTGTGTGTATGTGTGTGTGTGTGTGTGTAGTTGGAGTAGCAGCCATTGTCATGTCGGGTAAACAGACACATCCCATTTATTTGTGCATAAAAGTGGGACTTCCTTCAGAAACAAAAGGATTTTTCTAGAGGCAGCCTGTGCATACATGCCTGTGATCATTTGTGTTCTGAGATGGTGAGAAGCCATCCTTCCCCGGGCAGACATGACCCCAACCCACAAAGGGCAGAGAAGATGAAAGAGGAGATAATGACAACGAGGTTTAATAAACCCTGAGTGGTCTCAGAGCAGGAGGTGTGATCGTCTTTCTTGTATGGCTGATGCAAAGAAAAAGCTGCAGCAGGTATCTGCCAGCCTTTTCCAAATCATTTGTTCCTTGATTTTAGCTCTCAGAAATCTAGGTGAGAATCATAGGTTCAGATCTGGGTATACATTGTTTCTATTTGAGGAATATGTTTTTAAAAGAGGGCAAGGAATATGGACTCAGTGTGTAAACACGTTAGATGATTCTGTTCTATAACTTAAATGTGTTACTGTAACTCCAGTAAGTTCCCATTGAAATATTTGGAATTCATTGGAAGCTAGAGAGAATTAATTCAAGTATTACTTTTATCAGTTACAGTGCATCTTTTTTTCCCAAGTAACTCAACAATGAATTCTAACTGTATTTAATGACCCGCACGTGAATAGAGACATATATTTCTGTATGTGACTAATGTTGTAAGCATCGTAAATAATGTTTCAGGTTTTCTAGATCATGTATAATGACAGGCGATTCCCACTGGATATAATTAATCCTGTGTCGTGTAAATATCAGTGTCCTAATTATGTTACAATAGCTCTGATGATGCGACGACTGATACAGTACTACTGTTTGGGTTTGGGGTCCATCTGTGTCTTTCTGTTACTCAGGACGGGGGCAGCTGGTCATGTTAACAGTGCCTTGTGAGCCCAGGAGCTTCTCTTTGGCTCTAAATGCTGCCATGACTTGGGACTTTCCCCCCAGGTATTAGCATTGCTACTGCCTTGGGTTTTACCAGCCTGAGGTCGCCCAGACCTGAGTGCCATCTTCCACTCCCCCAGGGAACTCGGGTGGAGGTGAGTGTGACGGTGGCAGCACCCGTTGTCTCTCTCCCAAGGACTCAAACAGCCTCTTAGGAGCATCAGTAGACTATTAACTTTCTGTTTGGTTTGGGCACCCGAGAACATGGTAACTCATCATGAGGAACTCCAAGGAGGAGTGAAAAAACCCTGCAGAATAAAATGCAGACGATAATATTTATCAAGCCAAGGGTGTGTGTGTGTGCATGTGTGTGTGTTATGGGTAGGGTGAGGGATGAGACAATAGCTCTATATTTATCAAATAGTCACCAAATATCCACTGTCCCAGGTCTGGGAGATGGAGGCATTGTCCCTGTACAGATGGAGTGAGACCAATGCCCTTAATCCTGGTTGGCTATTCCCACAGCTTGTGTTTATGCCATTACTGTCTCAGACAACAGTCAGAGCTGCTGGGTGCCCTCTGGTTTTCCCGCTGACCTGCCTTTTCATTTTGACACATCAGCCCCTGCTCTCTCCATGCAAAAGGAGTAACTAATGCAGTGAAAGAGCAGGTTAAAGCTCAACTAATTTCAATTCACCAAATAACAGTGGAAGAATCAAATAACAGCAATGAATCAAAAAATGAGTGGCGTGTACCTGCCCGGAGGAGTTGGGAAGAGAGAAAAGAGGGTGAGGCGGGAACGCTATTCACAGATAATATCCAAGGTCTGGAATCCCAGGTTGCTCGTTAGACGGTGTGAGAAGCCCAAGGGAATAATAATGCACCCGAGTGCCCTTGACAGAGGTTTCTCCCATTGCCCCTCACAACAGTGATGAAGAAACCAAGTCACTGATGGAACAGGAAACTTCTCCAAGATCGCTGAACTAGGCAGAGGCTGAGCTGGGATTCGCACCCATGTCCGGGGGGCGCAAAGTCTCTGCTGCTCCTCCCCACGCTTTCTTACAACAACTCTGGAAGATGAGCTGTGGCGTCTGCAGGCCGTGGGTTTCTGCTGTGTCCACGAACCATGTTTTTCTCTCCTGATAGGTCACGGACTGACAGCGGTCAAGGAAAAAGCAGGGGCCACTCTACGGATTCATGGCGGGAATTCCAGCTCCTCAGAGGGGGCCCAACCTGACACAGAGAATGGCGCCCCTCAAAGTGAGTGACATATTTACTTGGGGGGCTTCTTGGACTTGGGCTGTATTACGCCATGTGCACAAATAGAAACTTTCAGATCAGCAGAATGAGCTCTGAAAGGATGCTTCTCTCTTTGATAGCAGATGCAGCCGCAGACCAGAGCCCCACGGAAGGCCCACCCACTTCCCCCTCAGCGGGGTCTCGGGGCATGCTGTCAGCCATCACCAACGTGGTTCACAACACAGTAAGTCCTTAGCCGCTTCCTCTGTTGCCCTGGCACCTCCCAGCGCCTTCTTTTGATACCTCTATTTACCAGTGACCTAGACACATTAGAGGAAAGATGGCCTCGATCATAGCTTTGGATCATGGTTTTGTGATGCTTTCTTCGGCAGAGAAGGCATCACCTTGGAACCAAAATAATAAGGACACAACAAAACGCGTTTTATGTTTACTAGAAAGCTGCTGTGTAAAAGGCGCATTGTTCGGTCTGATGGAGAACCGTGACCTCCAGCGGCTGCCAGGACAGCGTCTGGTTGGGGGGAAGAGGGCTCTTTCTTAGACGGCTGGTTTCCCTCAGTGCTCTGTGTTTCTTAGCCTTCCATCTGAAACATTATATAAGCCATTTAAATAAAAATAAATGCTGGTAAAGGGTCAGGAACAGCATCCCCGAGATGTTTCTAAAGTGTTTCCAGATAGCTGAGACCAATATTCTTCCCCCAGTCTCACCTCCCAATTTCTGCTCTCACTTCCTCCAATAACTCAAAGTCTCCCCCTCTCCACACACACCCCTAACTGGGGGAGCTGCCTAGCTCTTAAAGAAATTTGCTATCAGCAACAGAGCGGATGAATAATAAAAAAAAATGAGTTGAGGCACCTATCGGGTCTTCAGGGCCAGGAAGAAAAGATTTATTTTGCGCTATGTAAAACGAGCTAACTAGTTTTTCTAGAAATGTAGTTCCTGTTCAGTGCATTCTTTTATTCGTTTTTTAAAAAGATAATTAACCTTCACTATGTACCAGGAGTTACGCTAGATGATGAGCATATGCTGACAAGCGAGAGAACACAATATCCTGGAAGAGGGGGGACAACTCACTGGGCAGATGCGGCACCACACAGCAGGAGGAGGGGCGGTGGGCACGCGCAGGAGGACGTCCCACCCAGGCTTCGGGCCAGGGCAAGCCGGAAGCAGAAAAGGATGGCTCCCCTCCTAGTCTCTTTAGGACCTCTAGACTAAGTAGGGCGAATGAGGAGCAGCAAATGTGTTTTAGGATCAAATAGCGGTACAAGTCCGGTATGCCCTGGGGAATTTGTAGGGCTGGGGGTGGGAAGGAGCTCATTCAATATCTCTGGTATAAGAATTGAATTCACGGTCTCCCTGAGCTACAGTGCAAAGCGCTCCGAGTTTATCCTCAGCATCCTCACATTCCTTTCTGTGTCCTCTCCCACCTTCTGGTACAGGCGTCCGCCCTTCTCTGCGAGGGATGTGTTCCAGGACCCCCAGTGGATACCTGAAACCATGGACAGCACTAAACCCTATGTGTACTGTTTGTTTTCCTACACATACTCTCCTTTTCACTGGAAAGAAGTATGGCTGCTGACGCGTGCACTGACCAGCAGTGTCTGCGGCGTCACGGATGAGACATGAGACAAATTCACACGGACTACCGTGTCCTGTGGAGGAAAAGGGCTGGCATGGGTATTCCCTCCAGCGGGGAGAGCCTCAGAACGGCCTGGCCATCCTCTCCAGGGGAGAGAGGCTCGGAGCAGCCTGGAAACTTTCTCTCTTAGAAAGAGAGAGAGAGCGCTCGGACCCTTGCCTAGACAGCCTTTTATTGGGTTTTTTGCACAGGAGTTCAGGTACAACTTATTAATCACTGTCAGGCAGTAAACAGTAGATAGTATGCAAAGAACCATTAGGGCTTCTTTTAAATTAGGTTCTGTCAGCTAAAAGGCTATAGAACTTTGGGAACATAAACTCTTTTTCTGCTTGGGCCTTTATCATTTAACTAAAAGCATTCTCAGCGAAGCAGGTCTCACAGGGTTTCACATATTCCTTCTCAGGCCTGATCACCCAGGGAGCCCGCCATTCCCAGCACAGGGCTGAACCACCCTCCGTCATTGTTTTCTGGCTTAAGTCAGGCAGAGGAGGCAGATAGCCAAGGAATTCTCAGATACTTCTCGCAAACAGACTGAGGACTCATGCTTTGTCAAAGCTGGGGGTCAAGGGTCCATCACCCCCTTTCTCCATAGCCCCTGAAGTCCTTCCCTGGGGCCTCCACATGATCGTGCCTGTCTTAGGTGGTTCCCCCCTTAGAGAATCTTACCCATCACTGTCTAACTGACCAAGCATTGGAGGCCAGTTATGGAAAAAGGAGCAGAAGCGGCGCTCCTGCCAAGGAGATAAGCTTTGTCTCCTTAGTGGCTTATGGTCCAAAGGTGGCTCCCTCAGCCTTAGCCATGGGGGGGTTTCAGCTCCTGAAACCAAGCAGGGTAGTTCCCAACAGGCTTCTCTTTGGCGTATCCAAATTGCCAACATCACTACTCCTGTGCTTTGGGGACGTTGTTAAGTAAAATAAGGGTGACTTGAACACCAGCACTGTGGGACTGCCACGGTCGATCTGATAACTGAGACAGCCAACCACCAAGTGACTACTGGGCAGAGGCGGTTACAGCGTGGATCTGCTGGACAAAGGGATGAAGGGATGAGGCACATCCAGGGTGGGAGAGAGTAGGATGGCATGAGATTTCATTGTGATACTCAGAGTGGCGCACAACTTAACACATGTGAATTGTTTATTTCTGGAATCTTCCGTGTAATGTTTTTGAACAGCTGTTGATCACAGGTAACTGAAACCATGGAAGTGAAATCATGGATTAGAGGACGCTGTACTCCTCTTTCCCAACATCTGAGCACCCCCAACAGGTCTCCCCTTACTCAAAATTCCTATGACTTCCCTTTTCCCACTTTATTCTCTGCTGAAGTAATCCCCCACAGAATGTTAAGAGAAAATAAATCACGCAGAAATATGAATTGCTGATGTCCCCTAGTGCTCCCAAAGCAGTAGGTGTATTTTAAGATCTGCTTTATTGTGTGACTATGGATTACTCCCAAATATGAAAACAAAGTCTAAATGTCCAGGATGGAAATAACAGATAAAGCACATTAACTCAGTGAAATTCAATATTGCTCTTGAAGTGATAATTATGAAGATTGGAAAATGCATGTAGGTAACCATACAATAATAAAAGGTGATGTATAAGACTCACGTAAGGCGGGGAAAAAGCACAGATGTGTGCACACTGCAATCGCTGTTGTGTGGGTGGAAGGCAGGAGCAGAAGTTGCAAGAATTTAAGCAGTTCTCTTTATATGAACAGTTTATATGAGTAAATCTTGATTGTTTTAATCTTTTTTTTTATAAGGAAAACCATGGCTGACAAAGGGATTTGCAAGAGGCTTACTGTCTAATAGAACAGTTTCTGAAACCAGTAGGGTATGGAAAGCCGCCTGCCTTACTTCATGAATATGCTAATTATAGGCAGCAGTTACTAGTTTCTGAAGGTGCTTCAGAGCCATCTGAAATAGCCTGAGGGTCCTACCCCCCAGGGCCCTACATTAAAGAATTCCCTAAATTGGCTAGAGTATTGGACATTTTAATAGATTGCTCCAAATAACTCTGTTACTTGGATTAAAAATTTTCAAACAACAGTAGCAATTGGGTCACCTATTAATTTCATGTCTTAAACACATATCTATTCATACACACAGAGCAGGGCAAAATTAATCCTAAATATGCTTTGGCTTTTCCCCCAACCATCCTTTTTTAAAATAACATTGAATGTCCTACAACTTATATGGCGTGCTCTTCGAAGGGAAAGAAAATAGGATTAAATGGATGATAAATTCCAATGAAAATATTGCGACTTTCTATTGATTTTAATATTTGGAGATAGAGCCCTCCAGGAGTTGCTGACTGCTGTGAAAGAGCAAAGTGTAAAGATCTAGTCTCAGGCAGTCGTCTCCTCCACAGGGGAAAAGCGTCTTAACGGGCGGGCTTGACGCCTTGGAGTTCATCGGCAAGAAAACCATGACTGTGCTGGCGGAGAGCGACCCCGGCTTCCGACGGACCAAGACGCTCATGGAGAGGACCGCTTCCTTGTCGCAGGTGGGATGACGTACCGCAAGTGTTTCTTCCGTCAGTAAAATAAATATGTTCTTAATTATCTTCTTTATTAGGCATTTTTAAGATTTTATTTATTTCAGATAGAGGGGAAGGGAAGGAGAAAGAGAGGGAAAGAAACATCTATATGTGAGAAATACATCAATTGGTTGCCTCTCACACGCCTCCAACCGGGGACCTGGCCTACAACCCAGGCATGTGCCCTGACTGGGTGTGCCCTGACTGGGAGTCAAACCAGTGACCTTTCGGTTCACAGGCTGGCACCCAATCCTCTGAGCCACACCAGCCAAGGCTTCTATTAGGCATTTTATTTTAAATAATTTTATTTATTTATTTTAGATATTTATTTATTTTAGATTTTTTAATTTATTTATCTTTAGAAGGGAAGGGAAGGAGAGACAGAGAGAAATATCAGTGTATGGTTGCTTCTCATGTGACCCCTGCCGGGAACTGGCCCCTGCTGGGAACTGGCCTGCAACCCAGGCATGTGCCCTGACTGGGAATCGAACTGCAGTCTTTTGGTTTGCAGGCCCGTGCTCAATCCATTGAGCTACACCAGCCAGGGCTCTATTAGGCATTTTAAAGCACACCATTCAAATTCAAATGATACAAAATAATAGAGAATAAAAACTGAGTTTCTAATATACCCCTTGCCCTGGCCACTTAGTTTTACATAGGAGACAACCACTGTATCAGCTGCGTATGGGTCTATCAGAATTACCATATGGATATGGAGATGTAGATAGAGATGAAGGTACATGTAGCTACGTACACATTCATATGCACGTGTGTGTGTACATACTTTTTCAACCAGCGGTAGCTTACTGGCCACACTCTTCTGTACCTGGCTTTATTCATTTAATAATTTCTTGAAGATTATTCCATTTATGCCATTTGTCTCTGTCCATTCAGGTTGCTATAACAAAATACCACAGACGGGGTGGCTTACACACAACAAACATCAGTTTCTCGTAGTTCTGAAAGTTCACACCCCTGTAAAAGGGAGAACTGGACCTGGCCAGCTTCCCAGGTCACCGTAGTTTCTGAGCCCCCTTCACAGTGTTTATCGCATCTGTATTCGATCTACTGATAAAAAGTGAGCGGCCACACTCACAGAAATGTGTCACCCAAGAAGCCGCATGGACCGTCTGCAGTGTTTGTTCTGGTTACTCATCTGAAACACGTGCGAACCATGCAGTGCCCGGTGTTCGGAGCACACTTGAGCACCGCCCCTGCAACTCGCGTGGCTGCTTCACTGGGTCACCAGAGCACCACCAACTTTATCCTGCTTCTGAATTTTCATTTCCATTTGTGTATTCATTCTACAAGTGCATGTTAAGTGTCCAGTATGTGTCAGGCATGGTCCCAAGCACTTGAGATACACCTAGTAACCAAAATGGATAAAAATTCCTGTACTTCAGGAGCTTTTCTTCCAGTGAAGAGAGGCAAGCAAATGGTAAAACTACCTAGTATTTTAGAAAGCAACGAGTGCTGTGGAAAAAAAGAAAAAGTAGACCAGAATGTGGGTAATCAGGAATGTGGTTGTGAGGGGCAAGTTAAGTATGAAATTGGATTGTGAATGGGGGGCTCATGGAGATAGATGATGACATCTGAGCAAATACTTGAAGGAGATGAAAGGCTTGACCATGTAGAAATCCAAGTAAAGCACATTCCAGTCAGAAAGAACAGCTTGTGTAAAGGCCCTGGGGCAGGAGTGAGTATCTGATATGAACAAAAACCAACAGGGTTGCTATGTGGTGGGAGAAGAGTGAGCCAGGGATGAGAGCAGTTGAAGACAAGGCCAGGATGGTAGTGGGCAGCAGACGATGGCAGAGCATGGAGGGCGTTTGTAAAGACCTTGGTTTTACTGTTGGTGAAATGGTGGGGGCCATCGCAGCATTTTGAAAAGAAGAGAGGCAAATCTGACTTCGAAAGGATGACTAGAATTACTGTTCAAAATAGACCGGGTAGGGAGGAGGGTCAAGGGCAGGGAAACCAGTGAGGATACATATCAGTCGAAGTCCTCCCACAGACAGATGCCAAGGTGGGCCTAGACGTGCCAGGATTTCATTAGCGAAGACACCTGTGTGAGAGAAAGTTGGGGGCTGGGTACTCGGGAAGGCTGGGAGAGCCATTAGAGCAAGATGCAAGTCTGAGCCCAGTGACGGAGAGGGAGGGAAGTTCGGGTGGGAGCACCCTGGACTGCTGTGCCATCGAAGGAAGGTTTAGCAGAGCCACGGGGGAGTCCTTCAGCCAAAGTCCACTGACAAAGGGGTCCCCGTCTCCTGGGAACAGGTCTGCTTTAGTGTTCCTGCTGCACTGTGACCAGCAGAGAGGGTCATGGGAGGCATGACCTCGGTGCAGATGAGGGATGGATTTCAAAGCACGGCACCGGGGCCTCTGGGCATTTATGCTCCAGTGTCTCGGCCTCTACAGGAGGCAAGGGCACTGATTTGAACAGGAGGAGGTGGTGGCTGGGAGCAGGGTGGAGCCATGCAGGTAGTCACAAGTCTGATTCTGGGTGAAGTTCGAAGACCTGTCCTGATTTCCTGAAAGGTTGAATGTGGAGTGTGAGGTAAAAAGAGGAGGCGAGGGATGGCTCCAAGGTGTTGGTCCTGAGCAACTGGAAGGATGAAGCTGCCATTAACTGAGACAGGGAAGTCCGTTAGGTTTCTGCTAATCCACACTAGATACCTGTAGGAACCGGAAGTGCTCATCCCGCACGACGTAAATTCCTCGTGTGTTCTATCCCGGTGAAACACTCTCAGGAACGTTTCTTGGATCCCACTCCAGAATCACTCCTCGCACTTTAAACCCATCTCCTTTGCTTCTCCAGGGGGGAAAATACAACCAACATCCTGGGTAAAGCCAGTTCTTCTTCAGGCAACTTGAATTTCACTCCCCCCCTCTTTTTTGAGTGAATTCTAATTATTCCAGGATGTTTTCCCTTTACCTTCCATCTCAGCCCTTCCCCCTTTATTCCAAAATACAGATTTAGAGATGGAAGTTGGTGTAGACAAAGGAAGCAATTTCAACGTCACTTGGTTATTTTATTTTACCACCACCAACCCAGTGAGATGAGTGAGGAGGGGTGTGTGTGCACATGCCCTTGAGCCAGCTCTGACTCCTGGTGACCCTGTGACTGACGTCCCCAGTGTCCCGCCCTCAGCAGCCCCGCTCTGCGCCTGCAGACTCCCGCCTGTGGCTCCTTTCATGGCGTCAGTTCACCTCCTGTTTTGTCTTCCTCTTTTCCTGCTGCCTCCTGTTTTCCCAGCATTATTGCCTTTTCCGAAGAGCCCTGCCTTCTCAGGGTGTGCCCAAAGTAGGACAGCCGCGGTTTCGTCATTTCTGCCTCCAGTGATGTTTCAGGCTTCGTTTGCTCCAGGACCCACTTGTCCGTCTGTCTGGCGGTCCATCTGTAGAGCTTTCCTCCGACAGCAATATGAGCTGTTTCAAATAAATCAATGTTTTTTCTCTCAGCATTCTTCACTAGGCCTTATTGTGTTAAAAATCCCCAGAGGTTTGACGGAGTTGTCCTGAAAACTTTAAAATTCAGAGCTCGCTCTTATGTTGTCTTAAATACAAGTAGGAGGGAGAATTCTGTCTGTGACCCTGTGGGTTATGGGCCAACAACCTCAAGACCCCGAACGGCTGTTTTATTGGCACATAATAAAACTCCAAATCTGTTCTTACATAGTCTTCCCTGTATGACCTCATGGTGGCCAGTGGGTTTATGGTGCTCTTCACAGATATTAAAAAACACTGTAAACTTCATGCCTCAGTAAACTGGATGAGGAAGTAAATAAACAAGGCTTAGAATCAAAGAACGTGAGTGCAGGAAACTGGGAGTGATGGTGGACTTGTGTTCATTTTGTTGTTTTTTCATTTGTTTTAGTTAATCAACAAAACGTGGAGAGCAACTCTGTTCACAGTCGTATTTCTCATAATCAGCCTAAGAACGAATAAACCAACATTCTTGTTTATATTCAGTATCTAGTAAGAAATACATTATGAGTTTGTATTCTATTAATTTTTTTCATCAAAGATGTTTAATAACCACACACACACAATCCTAAATATAGCAACTCAGACAAAATCAGGTCCATTTACTTCAGCTGTGAAGTCTGCCTAGGTGCAGACACTGCAATTAATGCTGTCATGGCAGATTAAACTACTCAGATGCGCATAAATTTGCTCATTAGAAAAGAGTTGGACATTTCAGAGAATAAGAAAATTAATCACACACGGAAAACATTTCAGTGGAAACCAGTGTTGAGCTTTTGTTGTGCTTCTTTCCGGGCCTATTCCCCAGGCATAGAATTCTTGCTTTGTTTTGTTGTGTACACAATGAACATGTAAAATTCCAAGTGGAATATTATGTAAAAATTGTCAGTAGAATCAATCAAAAGCATCCTTTCTTAAAGAACCTCCAAAATGACTAGAACCTACTCTTACAAATACAAAATCAGTTGTCATCGCTGCCTACGTCTTAGCCAGGAAATGGGGCTTTCGGGCACCACAGAGTGTACAAACTTTGCGTTTTTCTGCAGATGTTACGGGAGGCCAAGGAGAAAGAGAAGCAGAGACTGGCGCAGCAGCTCCCGGCCGGGAGGACTGCCCACTACGGGATGCTATTTGACGAGTATCAAGGTCTGTCACACCTGGAAGCTCTGGAAATTCTGTCCAATGAAAGTGAAAGCAAGGTATGTCTGTACTGGTCTTTGTAAATGACATCTTCATCAATGTGTTTTCTTAAATGAGAAAGCCACTAGAAAATCTGCCATTAGAACATCTCATTTTTAGAGCATCACTATGTGCTAAGGTCACAAATGCTGTACAGCCTGTGCTCCATGTTAATTCCTCTCTGTCGTGTGCCGAGCTATTTCTCCTCCCCGTGCCCAAGAGAGCCACCAAAATAACAGTCATCACTACTTATGTAATGGTGCAAAAGGCTGCTCGAAAGCTTGCCTGCCGGGCTCCCGGCCCCACGCTTCCCTTCGGGGACATAGTGCACACACCAGAGATGCCCTAGCAGGCCATTCTTCCTTCCCACCCAAAGAAAACAAAGCAGCTGATGTTTCTTTCAGACTGTGGAGTTTTAATACTTTGGGTATTATGACTTATATATTGTATTTAATCACCCATTTGTTAGACTGTCTGCACTACAAAGGGCAGGATTAGCTTGCTGGTGGTTACAGTTCTAGTTGGAATGCCCCTGAACAAAAACCTGAGAAATTACCCAGCAACCCTGCATGGCTGCGTCTCCCCTACAGTGATCCCAAGAAACAAAAAATGAAGAGCAGAGATCAGCAGGGTTTGGCGATTTATTTCCTGGAAGATCTATGTGGGGGGTGTGCGGGTGTGTTTAGTTGGCAAACACTTGTACTGGCACTTATATAGTCACTATTCTAAGCACATCAAACCTATTAAATCACTTAATTGTATGTATGGCTTTTTTTGTGTGAATGCAGGCTGACCATACTTGGGGCGATTTGTAGTGGGGGCCCCAGGGCAGCACCCTCGGACCCCCCAGGAGAGGCTGTGGGCTACGAGGGGCTATGGGCCATTTGCTGGGGAGAGGGGGGTGCTCAGACAGGAAGCTGAACTTGGAAGAGAGCCTCAGAGGGGGAGGGAAATATCCGGACTCTCTCTAGGCCTTCTCGTCTCATGTTTGGACTCTGAGGAGGCGGAGGCGGTCTTCATGGCCACCTAGTCAGGGGAAGATGCCAAAAGCCACATGACAGGCACCCAGAACAAAACAAGGTTGAGACCCACATCCCCACTCCCCACCCACGAGATTATCGAGTTACAAGATACTCTTCGTGTTTGGTTCCTTTTTAGTTATCCATGAGCCATCGCATGGCTCACCAGTAACAGATAATTTTTAAAGCAAAATCATGAGTCGTACACAGGTATAAAATGAACATTAGTTAAAGAATTTATTGAGCTCATTAATTAAATGAAGGAACCAACCAGCTAGTGTAACTGATGCAAAGGAAAAGCCAAAGAAGCACAAATTTATACAGAGTAAAGCGATTTTGAAATAAATGTGCAAACAACGCACACCCAGTTTTCTCACAGGAGGCTGTCACTCCACCAGGAAAAAATCCATTCTCATGTCTTTAGACAATTGTTTCATACTGTGGTCAGCTATCTACAATTTCCGGAGTTATAAAATTACTCCCACAGAATCAGAATTCGATAATCTGGCACGGCGTGTTTTAGGAAACGCATTTTTCCACTGAATCACAGTTTCCTTTACAAAACCTGTGTGTCGGGTCAAATGCTACATGATGAAATGCAGCTCAGTAGCTGCAGTGATCTTGGATCTGTCTTACCTCAGTCTCTTTACCTATTAAATGAAAATAAGAATGAAAACCTACTTCATAGGGTTATTAAAATAATAGAGGAAATCCATGGGAAATTGGTCACAGCGTGCCTAATACATAATGGGCACTCGTTAAATGTTAGCTGACATTTTATGTATCTCTGCATGCCTATGCCTCTGTAAGGTGATGACATTCTACTTTTTATGTTGTGTTTTTATGCATTCTTATGTTATATATATTTGTTATTATTACGAAAAGCGTTATAGGTGAGCGTGGGCCCTTGAAGCTCTCATGGTGGTAGAGAGAGATTTCGCTCTGGCTGGTTCCATCGCGGGTCCCAGTGGAGAAACAGCCTCAGGTCCCACGAAAAGAGCCCCAGAGAAGTGCTGTTGCTAGGAGGGGGGTGAGGCCCTTGGAGGGTTGCATTGCCCTCTGCACGCTGCTTTCTCCTCCCAGCCAGTAGATTTTTGTAGTTTTCCTCATAAGGAATACAGATTTTTTTTCTTGGCTTGGTCATGGTAGTTACTGGGTGCTGTGATTAACAGTCCTAAAAATGTCTGGGTGGAGACCATTAGCCAGCAGTCATCCTCACTCCTCTCACAGTCCAGGGTGGGGCTGCCCGATCAGCAGGCAGCCTCCCTGCACTTAGGGAGCCGGGAGCCAGGCTCTGTCCATCTGGTGCCTCTGCCGGGCCTGGCCTCCTATTCACAGGCCTCTGGCAAGAATACAAATGGGGACCTGTACTGGGGTTGCCAGATACAACAAATAAAAATCCAGAATAACTAGTTAAATTTTAACTTTAGAAAAACAGTGAATACTTTTTTTAGCTTAAGTGTGTCACGTGCAATATCTGGGACACACAGCTATGTGACAAATATATTCATTGTTCACCCAGAATTCAAATTTAACTAAACGTCTTATATCTTATCTGGCAACCCTACACAAAACGAATATTTAAAAGTGAAAGGAATTCGGGAAACAGGCTGCTGAAGGAAATATATTCTGTCACCCAACCTTGACAAATACACCTCTGTAATGACCTGGAAGGTCAGGCTCCTGTTCACAGCCCGCAGCCCCTCCTGCCTGCCCTACCTTTCTTGAAATAATAAAGTATAGTACACCGAAAATGTTGTGTGTTTCCCTCCATTTTCAATATTAAAATGGCTGCACAATAACTCACCAATTTTGGCAAGTTTTTTTAGATGCCTGCTGATATGAGAGCTGTTACAATACAATCTATTGAAATTGTTCCAAATAAAACTAAAGACAACTTACTAGAGCCATCGTACGGAAATAGCGTGATGGACTTTTCGGCCAATCCAACAGTAAACAAAAACCTTCAAAACAGCACCCGGGGCCCCCTTTCAAGAAAAAGACCTGTAAGGCAGACTGTCCACCTCGGTGTTCCCCACAGCACTTAAGTACAGTGTCAATCATATAGCCAGCGTCCCACAAATATTTATGGAGGAGTGCCTATTTACTTATTTTTTATTATTGGATTCAAATAAAGATTCAGTGCACATTGCCTGGGCATAACGGAATGAACTAGCCAGGAGGAAGCAAAAATGATGCTGTAGTAGACATTCTGACAAAAGTCTTTCACTTACAAAAACCCTTCCAGGGGATTCCCAAAGCAGAAAACCCCACTGCAGTCACTCCTGGCGGGGCGGGGGGGGGGGGCTACCCTCCAGAAGACTCAGGAAAACAAAAATGTTCTGCATGTGCGTGTACATTTTCACTAGGTGCTGTACTCTGACACACTTATTCAATTACCTTGTTTGCTGTACCCTTAGAACAGTTCTGTTGAGGAAATACATTTGAAGTGTAGGAATATGATGTGGGCACGTCCAGGACCCTGGGGCCTAAACGTGAGTGCGTGAGCTGAAACAGAGTCTGAACAGGTCGGTACCAAAAGCAGGGGCAGCAGCCACCGTGCAGGGCGCACTCGCTCTCACCTGCTGGACTCAGCTAATGGGTTCGAGTTGATGATGCTTGCCCAGAGCCCCGGTGCCGGTTGCATTATGGACGTTTAGGAAAGTGGTGCTCTGGCGTCCCGATGCCCTTGCTAACTCTCTTGCTTATCATGCTGTGCGAATCTACTACCACGATGAATATTAAAACATTCGAAAGGGCACGGTGCCTCTTCTGCGGGTTCTCCCTCCAGAGCAAGTGTCGGACCTGCGGAATGAAGAATTAAAAGCCTTACTATTCTACAGTCACACCTCACTTTTCATGTGGTGCTCCCTGCACTTCGGCCATCTTGGAAATTGAAATCAATCTTCAGACTCACAGAGCATGACTGGCCACCAGTGCAAATAATGTTGAAGTGTGTATAAAGGATCATTTCGAAAGGGGGAATCCGAAGACGATGGGCAGGGAGAACAGCAGGGCAGGGAGGACGTCGGGGGTTGCGAGGTCTCCCTGCACAGCCTCGCGCCTCCCTGGGGGGTGGGCATCTCCCCCCGTGGAGCCCCCACTGCACCTCCACTCACAACTGCCATGTCTTTATTGGTGAACACGGGCCTACCTCCTCTAGACAACAAAATCTCTGAGAAGAAAAAGGTGTTTTGTGTCTTTTTGCAACACCAGCTCAATAACCCACATCTAGCAACTGTAGCTGTACCTGTGTGTGTATTTATTTATTTATTTATTCATTTATGTTTATTTACATGTGTACATATGTGCATAGGTATATGTGTGCCTATATATAATTTCTCCATCATCACCGTAAGTACTTTTAAGTACCTTTTTTCATTTAACCTTCAAATCACCCTTATAAAGTAGGTGCTATTTATAGCTACTTTAATAAGGAGCTATATTAAAGCTCTTTAATATAGAGCTTTATTATATATTAATGGGGACTGTAGCTATTAGTCCCCATTTTACCAATCAGGAAGCTGAGGCATAGAAAGGTTAAGTAAATTACCCAAGGTTTCATAATTAATAAGTGAGCAGCTGATGTTTGAATGCTGGGTTGACACTGAAGTGTGCCCGTGGTCACTGTCACAGAAGAGCCACCACCACCGCTCACCTGGCACAGGCTGCGTGCACTTGTGCAATGTACTTCAAGTCCATTGCCTCGATTACCACACCAGGACCTCAGTGAAGTGCGAATCTCCCTTTAAACATTTACAAACTGCGGCCGAGGGAATTGATGTAACTTACCCAGAGTTGCACAGTTAATTGGCACATCACCCCACTGTTGCCTCCCACACCACGAATTGCCTCAGTGCCAGGAGAGCTGGGGACGTCTGCATGTAAATGTATTGAGGAGAAGAAAGAATGGCAGTTATGCTGACCTACTTCTTTTTTCAGGTTCAGTCATTTCTGGCATCATTTGATGGAGAGAAGCTGGAGCTCTTAAAAAATGACCTAATTTCCATTAAAGACATCTTTGCAGCCAAAGAGATGGAGAAGGAAGAGAATCAAGAAGAGCAAGGTAAAGGAAAATCATCAGTTCATAGAGAGACAAACGGTTGGTGTGATCCTTACGGCGCAGCCATTCATAAGCACACCCCTCTGAACAGGGCGGAATCCTTTCATTCACCACTCCCCCCTCCCACTTCCAAAACACTCCATGCACCTGCTCCAGCAGCCGGAGCTGGTCACATTCACCTATAGTTCTTTCTCTCTGGGTGGGAGCCCCTGACGGAGGCATCTTTACTTCCCCGGTGTCCAGCACCATCACTGGCCCTACACAGGCACCAGTGACTGGGTGTGGTCCCAGGAACAAGGGGGGCCATGCACTGAGGAGGGCCCCCTGATGCATAGAGTACATGCCCTGATGTCTCGTTCTTTTATCTGCATGTAGCTGTTGTTGCATGTGATTGATGTTGATGGCAGGCTGGTCCTTCAGTGGATTTCTTTTCCAATAGGAGAAGAAATTCTCTCTCCTTTAATTTATATGTGTAGCAGTTAGGATGTATTTGTGAGTGGCCTGTGCTCTGCCTCAAACTTACAGTTCACGCAGAGGCACACAGAACACTAGGGCGTTACGTGTCAGGCTGTCCATCACTGAGCAGAGCCAGCTGCACTCTCCCGATAACCCTCCAGCCAGACAGTGGCGTGGCCCCCAGCACACTGGGACCTGTTTTGTGAGAAGCAAGGCTTCTTTGAGAAGGGGAAAATGGTCTCCAAGATAGGCATGCTTGGTGATAAAGTTGTCTGTCTGGGAGCAGAATGTAGTAATGCACTTGGTACGTACACGGGCAGTGATTTCTTACTCATGCCGTCACCTCGCACTACAGCCACGGCGTTCTGGCGGGTTATGCCCAAGGGTCAAGCAGCCATGGACAGGGCGAGCTGGCTTCTGGGACCATGCAAAGGGTCCCACTTGAAACATTTTCCCCATTTACATGCTATACAGCCTTGAACAAGTGCTGTAACCTTTCTGAAACTTGGTGTCTCACCTGTAAAATACTGACAATGATACATATTTTCAAGGGCTGTTGTGAGGATCACAATTAGACAGTATATGTAAAAACATATGTTACAGTGCCTGGCCCACAGAACTGCTCAAAAATGTCAGCTGTGATTGTTACTTAAGGTGCTCACACAATGCCAGGAAAACAGTAAAGGTGTAGTAAGTTGTAGCTTTTATTTATGGGTGCCCTGGATGTTACCCACACACAGAGCAGTGATAATGTGTATCCATTCCGTCAAGTCACTGGAGGTGTTTTGTGTCCAGGTGTGTTTGTTACATGCCTTTAACCAGAGCTTGAACATAAGTGCTCCCAATGCTTCTTCCTCAATGCTCAGGCCAGAATCATCCTAAGCGTTTGTGAACTGTCATTCAAATATGATCTCTCGCTCTAGCCCCACGTACTGACCTTACGTGCCTTCAGTTTAATGAGCTTTATGTTCACTGCATCAGAACGGAAGAATCAGTTATACTAAAGCATAGAAAGAGGCCAATATCACAGAGACTGTTGGAGAATTATGTTTTTGAGCATTTGTACATTTCTCCAAAGTCACAAAGGACAACGGCCTTGTCTCTGTGTTAATAATGAAGAAAGTATGAGGCTAGCCATTCAAGGTCATGGAGCTAGTGTTCTGGACTCAGGATGAAATACTATAGATGCCTGTCTTGCAGATTAACAGTCACCAGAAAGAGCCAGGCTGTTTCTCTTCAGTTTCTTGATGCCTGAGGTAGGCCAGGGTCCTATTAGGGGTTCACTCATAAAGGATAAAGAGAGGACCCCCAATTCCCCATAAGGTCAAGGACAGCTTGCTGCCCCAACTAGTGCCGCTTCTGGGGGAGAAACCTTGATCCAAACCTGTCAAAGAGAAAGCAGTGTGCTCCAGTCTCCGTGTAGACTTTCAGTAAATCGAGATTCTTTTTAATCTGACAAAAAAAATTGAAGTTATAAATAGCATGTGTAAGATATGGTAGATCAGATCTCCTCAGCAGATCTCCCATAGCAAATCCATTTTCCCAAAGGGCATCGCCAGAGGATCAAACTACTACTAATTTTAATTAATTTAATAAAGGAATGGTATTCGAACACTTAAAGTAGAACCTGGGGAAGAGAGTAACAGGGTAGCCATTAATCAATCAAGTTATGACGGAGCATTACAAGGTATCAGTGGGGCGGAACAGACCATCCAGGAGAGGCATTAGGGAAGAAGCTAGAACGTTGCCATCTTGCCATCAGTGTTTTTCTAGTCAGCACTTACATTCCTAAAAGCTTCCTAACACCTAAATAATGTATTCAATGGTCTCCAAAAATGTAATAAACTGTCATTTTTAGATAAATTGAATATCAATCTCCCTGGCAGTTAATAATGTTAGCTACTGACTTACATGTCTGTCTTCCCAGCAAAGTATAATTTCACCACACCACCATGGGTCTTTAATTTGGTTTACCACTGTTGGGAAGGGATTTGGAAAGGCTATTTTCTAGTCTTATTGCCTTGGAGAAGGTTTTCTCACCTTATACATAGACTAAGAGTTGTAGTAATAGGTATTCTTTGTTGCAACATTTTTATCATCTGTTTTTGTCTACTTCCATTTTTCTCTAATTTTTAAAAAATATTTGGCAGAAGCTATTGGTGTGTTTTCCTGTTTTATAAAATGAGTGAACATTTAAAAGCTGGGGCTGTGCAAAGTACTTAATTCCTAATTTACTATTGATTACTCTTAAATACTTTTAATCTCCTAACATTGTATCTTTGTAGCACTTAACAGTATCCTTGCATAAAAGTTTAGTGTTTACAAAATGCTTCTGCATTTGTTCTATTATTCAGTCCTTGCAGCACTGCCAGAGAGGAGAGGGGTGGCTTTTATTACCCTGCGTGTGCAGAGGAGGGTTTGGAAGCTAAGAAGCCCCTTGACTGGCCTCGTGCCACAGACCCATTAAATGCTGGAGCCTGGGTGGAACCCACACTGCGAAGCCCAGGTGCAGGCTACCTGGTGACACTGCCTCCCACGGAATAAGGGCCGGGCGGTTTGGGAATGAGACCTTGTGGGTGCTCAGATGTGTCCCTCTTACTTTGCCAACCTAGAGAGGATGAGACTGAGACCTCTGCCCAGCGGAGAGAGACTCTCGGCTTTTGATGAAATCTCTCTCTCTGTCTCTCTCTTTCTTCCCCACCCCAACTTCTCTCCATCCCATCCACCCCCAGCTCTCCCTTTGTGTGTGTGACTCATGCCTTCTCATTCTCGAAGGCTCAGTCCACACCCCACTTCTTCCATTGAGGCCAACCCGGCTTCCTCAGCACAGCGGCTCTGTGGACAGGAAAGGGCGTCCTGGGTGGCATTGGGGTTGCAATGCTAGGCTTTACAAGACTCTAAGTCATAAATGCAGTGTTGTCTCAGGTCACACAGGCCTGGGAAAGGGCATTCATTTGTTCATTCAGCCATTCTTTCACTGAATAGCTGCTGACCGCGTATAGCTGCAAATAAGGCAGGTATGTCCCCCACTCTCTTCACGTTGCCTCCGGAGCAGCCTGGGGCTCCCCAGCCAGTGCTGTGAGCTGCAGCCCCTGCACCCAGCAGCCCCCGCCCAGCAGCAGAACGCTGCCTCTCTGCAGTGTCATGAGTAGGCGAAACTCATCTTTGCCTGGCAGCTGGAGGGCAGGCTGTAGGTTGGGGGAGCTGCCACATTCTGAAAGATGAGAACTAAATCGTGCTTCTTACTTCTGTCACTTTCTGTTTCTAGGCTCAGAAGAAAAGGGAGGAGAATTTGCTAGCATGCTTACAGAGCTTCTCTTTGAATTACATGTTGCAGCCACGCCTGACAAACTCAACAAGGTCAGCACCATTGGCATGGGGGGTTTTGCCTTTTAGAGGAAGGTCTGAGTTATAAAATTCTGGAGATCCACATGAAATGGAAAAACCCCAAATATCACATGGGTGGAGGGAAGTCTGCGGTCAGTAATTAAGCTCCAAGGAGGCTGCATAATGAAGTGTGATGGTAGAGAAGAGGCTAGACTGTCAGGAGACCTGTGTTTTAGTTGCAACTCGGTAGTAATTACCTTATGACCTTGAACAAGTCACTTCTCCTCAAAATAGAATTTTATCTTAGAGCAGTGGTTCTCTCCGGCATAGGGAGAGAAGAAACACCAAGGGGCTTTTTCAAATGCCACCTCCCTCCCCCCCTCCCTCCCCCTCCTGATAGGCCAGAATCAGGCAGAAAGAAAGAAGCAGGGCAGCCAGGTCAGCCCCATGTGCCCTCCCACCTGCAGTGCTGGGGCTACAGCTGTGGTCCAGAGCATCCCAGCTGCGAGTGTCTGGGTTCCTCTGCCTGTCCCACAGCAGGCTTTGCCAGTTAGTGCAAGGTCTTGCCACGGAGTTTCTTAAGGGGGACACTGACCACTAATTACTTAAAACTGTGTCATTTGTCCTATTCCCTCTCTTTTTGTTTTCCCTTTCTTCTCTTTAGCCAGCAGGAGTTGGCCCTCGTTTATCAAGGTGGGTGAGGAAAGGGCAGAGTGAGGCAGGGAGGAGGGAAGATGAGTCATTTCTTTGTCTCTGAAAGAGGTCACTGATTCTGTCAGGTCAGTGACCTGAACACAGTGGAAATTGCCTCATTCATCTCCGAGCAGCACCTGCCAGCGCTCCAGGAGCTTGTGTGGGCTCCCGGGTTATTTACGTAGTCGGTAGACCTGGGCGCCTCCATACAGATGCACCAGGGACAGCGTTGTTGGGTTCTGGGTCCCCAGATCTCTACACCATCAACTTGCCATTCGACCCTCTGACATATTAAACGTTCGATGTGTAAGCTTCCTTTCTAAATTCAGGGAGAAGCAGGTAGGAAGGGTGGTTTACACTTGTCCAGCTTAGACTTAATTTTTCAGGCACTCCTGTGAAATTTAACCAGTCACAGAGCAGCACCTGGTCATTCCAACAGCCCTTCTCTCCCCACTCCCTTCCCCCGTGAGGTTGGAAGACCCAGCACGGCGAGAGAAGATTAGAGCCATCGCTCATCTTCCCGGCGTGGTGTGTTATTAGGTTCATGAAACACTGAGGGCTTCGTGAGGACGTAGCGGATGAGGAAATTTGCTTTATCAATGACCCTGGCTAAATCTCCAACCTATATATTAAAAAAGTACTGTGGTTCTTCTATAGCTGGTCATGAAAAGTGAAGAATGTACTATCACTCTTTCAAGGTGACTGTCATTTTTTTCTTATCTGAGTGTCATGTTAGAGTGGTTTTTTTTAAACCCCTCCAGGCTTGTATAGTTCTCTCCATACTTTCTGTCCCCTTTTCCTACTTTATGTTCATCTGAAAGCAAGGTGTTTGGAAGGAGCTTACAGAATTGCCCCATCGTTCCTCAAATACACAGAGAACCAGCCTTGACCATGTAGGGCAACTTGATCCTGGTCTGGAGACTGGAATCTCTTGGTCTCCATGTTCACACAGTAAATGTCTTGCTTTGGCTGGGGGGCCTTCGCAGGCCATGAAAAAGGCCCGTGACTGGGTGGAAGATGACCAACCCATCGTGCCAGTAGGTGTGACGGACGAGGCAGAGGAGAAAACTAAGGAGGGAGAAGAGGGAGAGAAACCGGAAAACCCTGAAGAAGACAAAAAGGAAGAAAGGAGAACTAAAACCGTGGAGGTAAATTTATTTTACATTGTTCACCTGTAGAGCAGTAATATTATGTTAATTTTATTAGCAGCCTAATTTTAAGTGAGGAAAATCCATTTCATTTTTATTATAGAAATATGAGTATTACTATAATAAACACTAAAATTTCTCCATGCCAAGATAACTTGTGACTTAGCATAGGTGTGGTAGCTTTTCTTCATGTCTCTACAATTATAATTTAAAATGGGGAAAAAACACCAGATCTTAAGGAATATAGTTGATTTACCTTGAGGGTGAAATTTCATCTTGTATGAAAATTTGAAACCATAAAATGTCCTTATGCCTCATAATTAGCTAATTGAAGCTTTTATCCAAAAAAATTCTATCACTGTAGTTGTTATTGTTTAGTTTAATAAATATATATGTGCATAATTTATATCCTGCCTGTGTTCAAAAAGGAGTTTGCAATCATTTTATCTCACATTGGATACTAATTTTAGAGGAACTAATTTTTAAAATTAGTTCATTTGAGAAAAATACCCCTTGAGGCCTATTCCATTCAATCACCCATTCACACGCTTTCTGGAGCACCTGCCTGTTGTGTGCCCAGCACTGCCCTGGGGACGAGGGACATAGCTGTGACTAAGGCTTGCCATGTCCCGGGGAACCCAGCGGCACTCCCATCATCTGGCAGTGCTTCCACTTAGAAAAGTCTTAGACACGTCTTTGAATCATTGGGCAAACTTTTCAGGTCATATTTGTTTTTTAAAAGAATTATATATATATTTAATACCACAGGGTTTTTTTAAAGCATCTGCTCAGTGAATAATTTTCCTTCTCGCACTTGCTCACTCCAGGACGTGTACATGCTGTCCATCGAAAGCCTGGCAGAAGTCACAGCACGCTGTATTGAGCAGCTGCATAAAGTAGCAGAGTTAATTCTTCATGGGCAAGAAGAGGAAAAGCCAGCTCAGGACCAAGCAAAAGTTCTGATAAAGTAAATGTTATTTTAAACTCTTATTTTTCCAATTTTACATGTATATGCCATTTGAATACACACACACCCAGGCTACTAAAGATTCAGATTTCAAGTCAAATAATTCCAGTGTTTATGTTCACATTAAGGAACAAGGATTGTCTTAAGAAATGAACAATGTTAGCAAGGATAACAATAATTAACTAGACATTTCAGGAATTTATGAGGAGATTTAAGGGAAAACATTCAGAGCTCAGTAAGTGTTTATTTTAATAGACCAAGTCTTGGAAGTACAGACCTTTGAGGGTAATCACATTTTCAACACACCACACAGATACTGCAAGGAAACCTTGATGTGACTTCTCAGCAAGCGTCACAACAATGTGCAGACACACCAGCACTGTGCCCAGGGGCTTCTCTCAGCTCTGAATGCTCTGAATCCTGTCACCGATGGTCGCTACAGGTTCACTGTAGACTGCATGCATGCGGACATGTGCCGGTGTATGTTATATTCTCGAATACATACAAGTTAGTATTACTTTATCTAGTGAAATAAAATGTATGTATGTAACTTTATATACATGAAAATAGTTGGTATGGAGTTTGTTAAAATAATTGGCATAGAGTGGAAAAATAAGCCACTCACTTTTATACACCTAGCTGTGTGTTGTGGTATAGAAAATTAGCACAGGTCCGAACATCATCTCATTATTAGACAGACACAGGAGCCAAATATAAGAGCCTCCTAAAAATACTTGGCTGCATACACACACATCTCAACTCACTCATTGACTTCAGTAGCTAACTGGTCTTTGCTCATCGCTGCATTTGGCATTATAGGCTGGGGAGAAAATTTTTAGTGGAAGGATCTTCCACAAAGTCCATACGAGTCAATTGCAATTCCTCACTTGTGAGTATGTGTCACCTATTCTAGATTTTCATATCTATTCACATGAAAGTCAAAGATGTAAGAACTTTACATTCCCATCTTTAATATGCCCTGAAAAGAATATTGCTTGCTTCAATGTGTAGAAGGAAGAGGAAAAGGCAAAATAGGAAAAGGTCAAAATACTGATGAAAACACCCAGGTGCTGTTTTAGATTTGCTGTGCTGACTTGAGAGGGGAGGGCTAAAGTTCCGACGTGAGCAGGACCTGGCTCCTGGCTTCCCTCTGCTCTGCAGTCCCCATCATCACCCTCAGCCAGCTGCACAGCAAAGGGTATTCAGACCTCACGTCTGTCTGTATAAGTGCCTCTCCGCCCACATGCCTAAGAACATAGGCAGAATGGCTCTGGGCCATCTCCTAGCTTTACTCCTGACCCATTCTGCAGAGAAGTTCTGGTGGATGGATAGATGGCCAGATGGCCAGATAGATGAATATTGCTCCGCAAACCTAAGCACCGGCTGAGACAAGGACCCCTATGTCTCAGAACAAAGCTTACATCTATTTTCTGCACTACATCTTTTCTTAACTTTGAGTTATTATTTTTCTAATAGCATTTTAGTCACTATTCATGAAAGTCATATATATTATTTTTGAAAATCAGACAGCACCCACGTTGTTAGGTAATTAGGTTGTTTTCAGTTTTTATCATCATCTGTAATGTAACACATTGCTTTAGTGAAATATTTGTGTCCATCTTGTGTTATTTTCTTGGGGTAAAGTCTTGGAAGTAGAATGGCTGGAATAAACTTGAGTTTTGATATATCTTGAAAACATATTCTATGGGATCTTTCTCTTCAAGTATCTAATAAGAACAATCAAGGTATCATGAGATGCCTGAGTTTGAATACTAGCTCTGTCACTTCCCACTGCATGCCCTATGCAAGTTATCCATACTCCATGTCCCTAAGTGTCATTTTCTTAGTCTATAAAATGGGAATAATAATGTTATCCATAAGGTCACTGTGAGGATTAAATGTGATTATTTATACAAAAGTACCTAACATAGTGCCTCAATCTACGTTCATTTTTATTTGAAAATCATCAAAAAGCTAGAGAAAAGCCACTTGGCAAAAATCTTAACCCCTTTACACGTGGCCCTCGAGACTGGCAGGTATTCTATTGCTGAGGTCCTGATTTTAAAAAGAGGTAGGCTGCATTAGATGATTTATCTTCAGTTAAGCATGCGAAGAAACCCAGGATTAGATTAAACTATGCTTGTGAATCATGGAAAGTTATTAAGAAAAACATTCCTACAAAGCATCTTCAAATTTGTGTGCCATTCTTTTAAGTGGATTATGGTATTAATGTCAGTGATTGTCTTGATGGTTACATTACTTTACTTTATTGAAAATCCCCAAACCACTTTTTTTTTTAATTTCAGATTAACTACTGCAATGTGTAATGAAGTAGCCTCCCTATCAAAGAAGTTTACAAATTCCTTAACCACGGTTGGGGTAAGATTGTAATACCGATTCTTTTTTCACCTTTTTAAGGGAGATGGGTCTCCGAGGGGCTTCTGTCAAAAGTGGAGGATCCAGGGCCTCCTTGGTAGCTCCACAAAACAGAAGCTCGGCCAGGACCTTTGCTAAAACTAGGCACGGAGCACTGTCTCCAAGGACAGACAGGCAGCTCAGGTTCTCATCTGACTGGGTTTAGCCCTGACGCTGCCAGCTCAGGCTTCTGGGATGTTGGTGGGTTTTCGAGCAGCTCCAGGGAATAGTCACAGAATTGCTCTCCGTTCTTCTTCACACATGGTAGCTCCAGCACAGAGCTTCTCACACCTGAACATGCAAGTAGACCGCCTAGAGATCTCGTTAAAATGCAGATTCTGATTCAGTAGGTCTGGCATTTCTGACAAGCTCCCACATGATAACAACTTTTCTGACCCACAGTCCACAATTTGAGTAGCAAAGCTCAGCAGATAGGCTTCGTACTTGAGCTTGTGTGTATGTGTGTGTGTGTGTGCATGTGTGACTCTTGAACAACATAGGTTTGAACTGCTCAGGATCCACTTATCTGTGGGTTTTTTCCAAGAAATACTGTAAATGTATCTTCCTTATGATTTTCTTAATGAAATTTTATTTTCTCTGACTTACTCTGTTATAAGAATACAGTATGTAACACATATCATGTACAAAATATGGGTTAATTGACTATTTACATAAGCTGTAAGGCTTTCTGTCAACAGTAGGCTGTTAGTAGTTAAGATTTGGGGGCATCAAGAGTCACCCACAGACTTCTGACTGTTTGGGGGTTCAGCCCCCTACCCCCATGTTGTTCAAGGGTCAACTGTACATGTACACATGTGTACAAATGTTTACAGGCACAAAATCAGAAACACACAAGTTGCGATTTTGGAGAAAGGAAAAGCTAAGTCTAAATGGAGCTCACTGAGCTGCCTCTCCCCACAACAGCCCCCCTCATCTTGTGCCGTGATGAGTCGTTCACACCCAGTCCCTCTTTCTGTGCTCCACAATGGCCATTACTCATAACTTGAAGCTAATGAGTGTATATTGCTCTCCAGACTCTGTGAAAATTGCTTGTGCATCTCATTGATTCTGAAAACTAATGGCATTTTACTGCCCTCATTTTTATTATATTTTAGAGGTTTATTGATGATCAAGTAAACATGAAAGCAAAAACCATAATGGATTTTCTGGTTACTTACTAAAATGACTGGGCTTTTTAATATTTTTTTCTCTCACCAAAATTTCATTATGGTTTCCCCAGTAGAGTAATGTCAGTAAAAGGGGGCTGTTCTGGGAAGATGTATTTTATTTACATATTGTACTTTTGTTTACCATAAAGCCTTCTGGGTACAGTAAGGAAAACTGTCTACTAAGATTGCCGTCTCTATTTCCAGTCCCTTTAATTATTTATTGTCTAAGAGTAGATTGAACATTTTAGATAGAAGACTGTTGATGGGTGGACCAATGGTGGAGATGATAATGATGATACTGATGCTTGCTCTCATTTTTGAAAACCTACTTCATATCAGGCTCTGTATTCTGTGCTTTGCATATTTTTACATTTCGAAAACTGGGATCTGCAGACCTGTTTACAAGTTACATTTAAGGTTGTTTTAATTTTGCTGCTGGTTTGGAAGACACATCTTATAACCAAATGTCCATGTTTTGCATTTACATGAAGAAGTGGGGGAAAAAAGACTAATGAACCAGCCTGGAACTAATGTAGGTAATTAAAGTACTTAGCTCACCTGCAGAATTTAAGGGGGCTTCCCCCAAAAGAAACAACTTCAGTCATCTAGATAAATATTTAATGCAATATTTTAAAAAATCAAAATGAATGCCAAACGATTTTAAGTAAAGACGGGCCCCGCCCTGCACTGCTACATCTCGGCCTCACTCCCCTCAGCCTAAGCCCAGACCTGCTGCAAGTCTGCCACAGTGCAAAAGGTCTGAGTTTAAATTTCTAGCTTTGTGACCTTAAACAAGTTACTCAGCCTTCCTGATTGCCGTTTTTTCATCTTTAAATTATGGTTGTTGTGGTACCTATGTACCCACCTCCTGGGATTTCTGTCAAAATTAAATGAGATCATCCAGGGGACGCAGCAAGTAGGAAGCCCGGGCTCTAGCACCCTTTCCACTTCTCCTGTCCTTTCTGTCCCTCAGCAGAGTCGGTGTGTGACATTGCGTGTGGCATACCGTGCAGCATAAGCACCTAATCTGTCAATTTCATCCTTTTGATTCCGCAGAGTGACAAGAAGGCTGAAGTCCTTAACCCCATGATCAATAGTGTGTTGTTAGAGGTAAGTGTCCCCAGGGAGAACGTGCTTCTGAATCAAAGCAAATGTTAGAGCTACGCTTTTTCCCCAGGCAGCAAGTGTTACTATGATTCTAAATCATATCATCAGCAGTCTTTTTTTGAGTACATTTGTGGAGCTCAACCAGCTGTAAACCCTCCTGTGAAGCAACAATATGTAATTTCCAAGAATTCCTGACGATAAAGAGAAACGCAAAGTTTGCATGCTATTCCTGGTGCTGTTTTCTCTGGCAGAAGCAGATTTCTGTTGCTGAGTTTGACACCAGATTTGACACTGTGATTTTCCTAAAAATGGGCACTTCCCTTCATTCGCAATAATCTGTGGTTTATTTCACGGGGTCTAAGCTCCAGACTGGCCGAATGACAAGTGGAGCTGACCCTCTGCCTGTTCGGTGACCAGAGGCACCATCCTCTGCACTGCTCCGTGACCTCTCCACTCACCAGGACATTGTAGCGTAGAGAAGGAGGCTTTCCTGACACCTCTATGGCTTTGCCAGAAAGAGTGATGTAAGAAAGGCTCAGAGACATTCTTGAGTCAGGAGGCACGGCGTTCTACCTGTGGTTGGCGGGGAAGAGCCTTCCATTAGGGGCTACATAATACAAAGCAGACATATCTGTAGCCACAGGGCACCCAGCTGATGCCATAAAGGACTAACAAGTTAAGTTGCAACATGGGCCATGCATATACAGTAGGTTTTTGTAGTTTGCAGTAGGTGTCAATGGCAAAATTTGGAAATTACAAAACTTCAGGTAAGAGAGGGCTACCTATTATATACAGAGCAACATTTTGAGGAGTCATGCTTTACTGTTAAGGAAAACTACCGAGGTATTACCAAAAAAGTAACAAAGTGGTGGCCCCCGGTGTTATTTATTGTATAGGACAGAGCCACGTACAGAATGGAGTCAACCAGAAAGGACGAGACGTGTGGGGGCAGGTTCTCCGGGAACAGACACAATTAAGAGGCAACCCAAGCAATCAGAGGCAGAATATGGAACAAGGAAGTCTCTCCCCTGCCACCCAGAAGGCATCAGCAGATTAATTTGCTGTGTCAGTCACGGAGAATATGAGGCCAAGTACTTATTCACTCTCCCAGTGGAACTGCCTCATGTTTTAGTCGCCTGAAACTCTAAATGGCCTCTCCCTCTAACGCCGCTGTGTGTTGGAGCACCCCAGAACCTGCCCGGCGACATCAAATATGCAAACCAAGTAGAGGCACCAAGGCTCATGGGAGGATGCTAGGGTTCAAGGTTTGCCACACATAATGCACAGTATTTCCAGTTAGCTTTATGCAGATGGTTCTCACTCACTCATCTATAAGTTAGGGCAAACTAGAGCCCTCTTCATACTGTGCTTTGTGTTATTTCAAGACAGTGAGGATAGTTATCTGGGAAGGGAACAGTGATGACTAGACGTATTAGGTCGTGAATAACACATTGATGTGTCCTCAAAGTTGATGGAAATGGCTTGCCTCACTTTGAGTGAATTCTTCTCTCTGTTAATATGGATCATTAAGAGCTAAACACATTCCATCCCGAGGGATGTGTTTACATTTGCTAAAAGCCACCAATGTTACAAGAAAAATGCTATAAAATATTGTGGGGCTTGATGAGAGGGAACATTGTCATATCAGAAGATTCGTCAGAATTGAACTATGAAAACACCCCTTAACCATATTTCTGTCCCCTCTCAGGGCTGCAATAGCACGACATACATCCAGGATGCTTTCCAGCTGCTGCTGCCTGTTCTGCAGGTTTCACACATCCAGGCCAGTTGTTCAGAAGCACAGCCATGAGCTGGCTGGCCAGACCCCGTTCAATTAGAGGAAACAGCAGGCCATGTTGCTCTGATATACGTATCATTGAAGGTGATGTCTTCCACGCATCTGGCCACAGACACCCATTTGAGGACACTACAAGCAATTTTGCACAGACAGTATTGAGAATGCAAGTTTAAAGAGAAGATCACTTCTCTTCATGTATAGGGTTATTTTACAAGTAATTGTGTTTTCTTGGTGTTAATTTAAATGTACACAGCTTTGTATTGATAATTTTCTTTCATCTGAAATTCATTCACAAATACTGCCATTTTCCTGGTCAGGCATGCTATACTTGGAGATTCGTGGGCAAACCTTATACTTTTTTTTTAATCCTTTAAATTTCCACCTTTAAATTTTCTATTCTTAGAGTACTACTTTAAGTCAACTCCTATACTGAACTTAGTTTTGTTACATAAATGTCATGGACAAAGATAACACTACTTACAGATTTAGCTATAATAAAGGGAAACATAAGTATCTCTTTAGAGCCATTCCTTCTTGAAACAAGCATTTATTGACTTCCTCCTGTTTGTGCACAATAGAAAAATATGATCTCACTTCACTAAAAACAAGTATTCTGAAAGAGGGTTTATATAATTCTTAAACTGCATTAAAATACTAATAAATTTTCTTAAGCCTTGAAATATTTGAAGAACAAGGTACATTCATGGTTTTAAAAACATCTACTCTTCAATTTATTGTATTTTCCCACCCTTTCTTAACTCTATCCCAAACTTTGTTTAGAGTATGAAAATATGTATGAAAGAGGATTTAGTTTAAAATTGACTCCTTATGACCATAAATACACGATAGCACAATTACAAATCTTGGAAGTGTTCAAATAGAAAATCAAAGGGGTTTCGACTCAGTAGACTCCTAGGACTGCATTTTTAAATCTACTGTAGCTGAATCAGGCTGTTTTATGAATGCACAGATCATTCTCACCAGTAGCAAACATCATCAGTGCTGCTAAGGGGCCGAAAATGCTGGTGTGTGGGTTGCCTGACTGGTATATTGATCCAGGGAGGGCTGGACAGAAGAGCCTGCAGCCAGGAGAGGCATTGTCCACGGACACTTCTCTTCCTGAAGGCCCCATGCTTGCCCTGGGTGGGGTGCCCTATCTTGTTTCTCTCTCAGATGCCCCTACAGGCAGTTGCAAGATGTCTCTCCCAGGGGCTCTCTTTAGGACAAATAAAGCCTATACTTTCCCCAAGCGTGGGAAATCCCCCCTTTGCATTTGCTTTTATTCCCCTGATGGAGTAAGACTGCCTTCGTTCCACAAGGCATTTCCTTTGTCTGTGTTGTGTATTTCACTGGTGTGAACCCTGAAATGGCCAGATAGGAAACTTCAAAACAATTTATTTACAGTCTGGAAAAACACCATTCAAGGAGTCAATTAAAGATTTTTTCACTGCTTTTTGATTGCCTGAAATGTTCCTGCTATTAAATCTAGAAGAAATTAACTAATGAAAATGTTCTACCTCTTCAGAAATTTTAGACTTTTTATGTGTGGAGCAGAGAGGAAAGGACTTGCACAATTTCTTCACATCAGATTTTTTTAGCATCGGGTAGATTTATAGACATTCACTGGAAATGCCAAAGAAACAAATCATTTCAAGGAAGCTAGATTTCCAGAATTAGACTTTAACCCTAACTGCACCCATTTAGTGCATACCAAAATTTTAGTCATAAAATAAAATAGAAACCTGTAGAAGAATGAGATAATTATTCTTTTAGAAGTGGGTGACATCGTTTATGTTGCGTTTTCATGTGTTTTAATTGAATATTGAAAGTTGCCAGGTAAAGATATGAGCTGAGAGATGATCCCCAGGGCTAGCTTCATGGCCTGTGAACTAAAAGAGAATACTCAGTCACTATATATCCACCATCCAGGATTTCTCCTTTTCAGTACTGTGTTTTCACCATCACTTTAAATAATTGCTTCTTTGCTTTGCTTTAAAAGCTGGCAAAGCACAGGATACCAATCTGGGCAAAACGTTGGGCAGTTACTGAATGAATGATTTAGCAGGCTTACTTTGAAAGCTTTCTATTCCTTCAATAATCCTGTATATAAATTGGGTTCATTTCACTCTGTGCAATTACCCTGAACAAGCGTGCCAGATTTTTCTTCCATCGAGTGCAAAATAAGTTCTAGTGTAAATAATGAATGTAGCTCTGTGCCTGTGCCTTATTAAATAAAAAGCATCAAAAGCCTATTTCAAACTCAAAGCAAAAATGTGTCCAAGGAAAATTCCTTCAGGGTATTGATACACATGCTGCTAAAGGGCGAGATCGAGGCCCAAATCTGAAAGCAGGGGTCTCGTCTTAAACAGCCTCTCCTCCTGAGAACAGATGTCTCTCTTTTCTCTGGGTCTCACACTGGGCTGCACTTCAAGTGCATGGTTAAATGAGTGGTGTGAGTAGCTGGAGGCAGTGGCAGGGCTGAGCTGTGTTCCTTATTCCAACTCAGGAACCAGGGACCTGAGCTGCCTTCACAGGAGATGAAAGAAGCCCCGGCCTCAGGCAGCCTGAAGGGAAGTGCTGAGTACTGGGTAGATATCGGAACCCAGAAATGACAGCATTTCTGTCTAGAATTCAGCTGCCCCAGGTGCTCACCTGTGGGGAAAGTCACCTTCAACACAGGCAGCCATGCTCACTTCAGTTAGAAACAAAAGCAGGCAGATTCTAATGACAGTCATCCCAGAAGTCCAAAACGTAATGTGTCTTAGGGAAGTAATTTAGCAAAAATGTGAAATAAACATATTTCTCTCCTCCCCCCCCAAATAAATGTGTACACACTTTATGTACGTGTGTGTGTGTGCGGAACAGGTGGGGTAGAGCATAATACATGACTTCAGTCTCTATTTAATTTTATAAAAGCAATTGCTCTTCGGGGTTAAGGTAACTTTTATAATGTAAAAATTGCCCTTTGATCTTCCTCTCAAGTGTGCCCTACATTTTTATATTCAGATCCAGCTCCAACTTGGTACTTAAATCCTCGTGTTTCTATAGGCGCATCAGAAGGAATCATCCTGAAAATTCCTCCGAGAACTGTAATTTTGCCCAGTTTTTGTAGTTGATTAGAATAAGGAAAGCTGTAGGAGTGGATTCAGACAAAAAAAATAAACTTTTGTTAACCATTTGTTTCATTTTCCTAGAGATCTTATTACTTATTCAGGTTTATGTTCCTTTTCCACATGCTCATCTATAATAGGTGCTCCATTCAATATCTGCAAATAAACAAAACTGGGGAAAGACATCATTCTGTTCTTTTTATTAATTTATTTTTGTGCCCCCAAAATAATCTGACTTACTCCACCCTTGGAACACTCTGCCTTCAGCAATGATTACATTATTACAGCCCAACAGTGAGAAAGGTGTTGATTGAGTTTCTGGTATCTCTGGCATCTCGGATCACCGTGGACCGGGAAGAGAGGCTGATTATGCAAGGTCGGGATTTTGGGTTGGGACTTAAGCTACATTTACCTTGTCTGGCTCCAAGAGTGTTTTTCTCTGCATGAGCTGTCAGCCAAAAAGAAACAGGATTAGGTCTACCGGTGGTCACTGCCGACTCACTTGACAGGCCCGTCTCTGCTATTAGTCTCCCAGGAATGCCTTACTGCAAAAGCAGAACAAGGACGTTTCTTGCATGCCTTCCCAGAGCACAGAAGTTCAGGGTGACTCAGAAACCCCATGTCACCCTGACCTGCATTGCAGCACCAGGCTTCCAGAGCTGCCACTTGGAGGGGAAAACCAGCGTAGAAGCCAAGGCCAGATGGATGAAACCTTGGCAGAGAGCAAAGCCCAGCCTCTGCCTTTGAACCCCTGCCATCTTTATCCTTTTTCTCTCTCGGTATTTTTTTTCTGACAATCATTAAGTGCCTCTCTTCCAGGGTCTGCTTGTAAAGTCCTGCCTCTCTTTTCTATATCCCTTCTTCCTCTTCTCTTTCTCTATAATTTATATTATCCTTTCTCCATTTACCTCACCAGAAAACATTCCATCCAAAAAACTTAAATAATAATAATTAGTATGTATTTACCATGTGCTGGGCACTATGCTGAATGATCTATATGTTTTATTCCATTTCATTTCCATAATTACCTACTCTGGTAGATATTATTACAAGAAAAGCATTGAGACCCAGAGAAATTATATAACTCACCTAATGTTATGAAACTAGTGAAACAAAGCCAGGATTCAAACCCGGGTCCATGTGACCTGACTAGCTAGCATTTTAAACATTTATACAGAGTCTTCTAATGAAAGAGGAATATGTCGTGTTATTTTTGGAGACATCTGAATACTTGTATGTTTAGCTCTCTTAATGCTGGGAGGTGGATTTATAGCTGAAAGATTTGGTCATCAGCTTCAGTTGTTGCCATGAAACTAAGAACAAGCTGGGACTAAAGAGACACGGAAGGAAGCCATGCAAGGTTATTGGGCCCGTGGGCTGTTCTCACCACAGGCCTCTCCACCGCTTCACAGACACGTGCATCAAGCAGCTTCCTGGTCATCGTCAACACAGCATCCCCTCTCTTCTCTCAGGGGTGCCCTTGTCTCACAGGTGCCTTTGCTGCTCCTAAAATAGCTCCATTTCCTCCTCCCACCCCCCCGCTTGGTGCCAGGGAAGCCCATTTGTGTATCACTACCCTTCCTGAAAATCTTTAACCCTCTACTACCTGTGTAGAGCATGAGTTTTTTTTTTAAGAGAGAAAGGAAGGAGAGAGAGAGAGACAGAGGTGGGGGAAGAGAGAGAGTGAGAAATCAATTTGTTGTGGAGTAAAATGAAATCTCTGTAATAACAGAGCCCAAGATGTGTCACTGGTTGTAAATAGAAAGCTACAGTATGGTACTTGTAGTATATTTACCTAAAATAACATATGCACACACACAAATATACTACATGCACACCTGGGCATGCATGCACACTCCCCCAGTTGAAGAAGACCTGGAAAAATACACACAGAACTGTTAACAGTGCTTTCGAGCAGGACAGAAAGGGTCAGAGAGAATGTCAGAATTTGACATACCAACTGAAGGGCACTCCAGTGTGGTTTGCAATATTTAGATATTTTTATAATGAAAATATTAATAAATGACTCTTGAAATGTTAAACGTTAAAACAAGAAGCCAAAGAAAATTGCTTCTGATCAGGAAAACAAGAAGATAGGGCCCTGCCAGAGACTTAAAGTGAAAATACACAGATTATTTTTATGTAGAAGAGCTAGAGTTGGGGTAAGAATCAAAATGATTTGGATTTCTTTCTTATCAATGTCCCTATAAGGTTCTAAAACAATTCCGATGACTACAAATCTCTTCTTGCTTTCCTCAGAAAAGCCCAAACCAAGCATTTCAAATGTCTGGTTTGTAAAGACTGATGCAGTGATACAAACAGAAAAACTTGTCATTTCTCTCTCCTTGGAGGAGGACCCCAACTCTGTCGGCCAGATAGTCCCTCTGACCTTCTGACTAACCCTGAACAGCTCTGGGGTGTGTGATGACACAGACGCAATTTCAGAAACTTCTGGAGGAAAACACCACACAGATGAATAAGTTTGTGGTTCAGCGTTATTAGCTTGGTGCATATCATATTTGCAAGAGGCAGTTTACAATCTGTTTATCTTGACAAATGGAGCACAAGGGGATTTTAATACCTGCATTTGCAATTTCTGTCTCTCTGTCTCCAAATTTACGGCAGAAATGTAGACACGAAAAATGTGTCAAGGTCGAATGAACTGAGGTCTCTGCTCTACGCCTAAGCTTCATGTCACTCAAAGGAGGGTAATAAATGGAAAGCAAAAAAAAAGGCTCAGCAGATAACGAATCTGAGTCCTAAGGACATTTCTGAGCTTCAATATAGATTTGTGATTTACTTGGTGTTGCCCAAATCACTTGGTGCCTGCAGTGCAAAAACATTTGAGCTTTTTTGGGCCACAACAGTGCATTTTAAGAATTTCCTCAATGACTCGTGAAGGGTCAGAAATACCTTTCCCTGGACAAGTAAAAATCATCCATCAGTGGTAACAGGAAACTTGTTGCCAATGTGCCCTGTATGTCCCAATGGCGGTATGATTGATTATTTACAGGCTTGGTGTAGTCTACAGCCGCTGGGACTGAAATATCACCATCTATGTAAGACATAGGTGTAACACGCCAGTATCTGGTACTCTATGCCTCTTTTTTTAAAAAACATTTGGTCTCTGTCAAGGAATGTAAAGATATGTTTATTCAAGAAAAGTCATATTTAAAATAACATGTTTGCTTGTCCAACAGTACCCAGCCTGTCACTCAGCTGGTCACCTCCATCTGTGTTTGCTGCAAAGGCACCACTTGGTCAGTCCCTGCTGGGGTACCGCGACCTGATGAGAATAATACACAACACATCAGAGGCTCTGAAATTAGTTGGCTTAAAAAAAAATGAAAGGCTCATTGATTTGGACAGACATCCAAGTGTTGTCTTTTGGCTTCTTGGAGGTAGTCGTACATTTTTTTCTTTCCAGAGCTAATACTGAAACAAATCATGAGATAAAGTAAAAGAGAATATCTATAGATTTTTATGAACTCTTCATTCATTCAATCATCCATCCATCCATCCATCCATCCACCCATCCATCCATCCACATATCCATCCAATCAGTCCACAAACATGTAACTGTTGTGTACTTTGCCAAATAAACCAGTGCTCAATATGAAGTTCACTTTGCATGTCTCTCATCCAAAATTGTATAAATCAGTTTGAGCAAAGAAATCTACCAGGTATATCCATGGTTTCTGCAGCCACCCACGTATATGCTGATGACACCCAAACTTCCACCTGGAGTTCTGACAGCACTCCAGAATTTCAGCCATAGAGTCAACTTCCTACCAGACAACTATACCTCGGTATTTGAGTCTCCCTCTAACCTTACTCCGAACGTGTCCAAACTGAATTCATGATTCTCCCACTTTTCTTACATTCTCTGTCTTAGTTGGATGCACGGTGTTACTTTTGCCAGAAGCCTCACTACCACCCTCGGCTGTTGCTTTTCTTCATCCTCAACACCCAATCAGTTTCCTAGTGCTGTCAATTACCTCCTCATTGTATATCATTCTCCACCCCATTGCCTCATTCTTGTTTTGTTTTCTTCACTTCTTTCCTGTGAACTAGTGTAATAGATGCTCAAAGGTAGCAGAATATGCTGCCCGATGCCCTATGAGTGTAGGAGTTTAGGACATGCGCCCCCCCTTAAATATGCTACTTTGGTATTGCTTGGTTTGAGCCGTAGGCGCTTGAAAACCAGTAAACGCAGAGAGAGACTTTCCCTGAACTTCCCACACATCTAAAGACAGATCCCCTAAACGGAACTCAGTTGTCATTGATCTCCTCCCCGGGAGTTTTCTCGGCCAAGGAAGACTGACTGTTCTCGCAGGAAAGGAGACTGGAAGTGGACACCACACCCAGACAGACTTTGTCACGGCCTATTATGCTCCCATTTGTTTTTCTAAGGGCCCATTTATCTTTCCTAAAAATCGTCTACTCTCCCCCAAGGCGTCTGCATCCCCACCTTTTTGTCTATGAAGATGGTATTTATGCCTGAATTCTAAGCCACCTCTTTGAGTTACTCATTTTTCCCAGGTTATCCCCCTAGAGGTTACATGTTAATAAACTTCTATTAGTTTTTCTCTTGTTAAACTTTTACTACAGGGGTCTCAGTTAAGAACTCAGGAGGGTAGGTTAGTTTTCCTCCCCTACAGTGGAAACCTGGTATCGGCACTGTGTCAGGTCCCTTCTAATTGCCCAGAATGGTAGTGTTGGCACAGACTCTATGAGCTCGGATATGGTTATTCCTCTTTGTTGGTGGGCCCTAGCATTTAGGAAAATCCCCAAACAAGGTCCTTTACAGTCTGGTCCCAGCCTACTTTCTCAGGCACCCTTGTCAATTTCTCCCATCAATTCAGGTGCCTTCATCAATTCCTCATCAACTCATGGGCAAAACCCACAGAAATCCTTATGGGTTGCCCCTTGCACTGTGTTCCCCCTCATCTCCATGTGGTGGGAATTTAACTTATGCAGCTGCCATCATACATTTATTGGAGTCCATGAAGGACCAGTATGAATCCAAAGATTCAACAGTATTAGTGATGTCATAGACCAAATATCCCTAAAATCAGTACAGCAGGTCTTTCAATAACATTGCTAGATTCAATGCCATTTTGTTATAATGTTGACGAAATGTCATAGAATTTAACTCTTGCTAATATCAA